AGGTCCATTCACTTCTATTAGTTTACAGTCTTGCCACATCCAATATGGCGGCGACGTTGACGTACGGCTCAGTGCTCGATGCGGCGTCTATGTATATATGTCTATGGAGTTAGTCTATAAAGAATACAATAAAGAAGTTTTTCAGAATAAAAAATGTTTACTACATTACACTGTTTTAGTCAGTTAACTTATTTTAAGAAGCTGGTCAAAATCAAAACTATTTTGAGTTGGATGGAATTAAAATAAATAAGTTAGAATATCTTACATAAAATAATTTGACCACTAAATATCACCACAACTTCTGGATAAATATTAAGTTGGTTTAACTTATTCAAGCTTTTTGAGGTCACAGCAAATCATGTTGGTTGTACTAAACTAATTGAGTTTGTCAGATTATAATAAAAGACTCATAGGACTGACTCATTAATGCCAAAGTTGGAACTACTAAAAAAGATGCATGCAAACTATTACCATAATTTCTTTAAATTGAGACAATGACAATGTTATCCACCAACCCAATGAATCACTTTTTAGAGTGCACTCTAAAAACCCAATGAATCACTTTTTAGAGTGCACTCTAAAAAGTGATTCATTGGGTTGGTGGATAACGCATAAAATAAAGAAGCCCTTCAGCATAAAAAAAATTACGTGTGTTACATAACAGTGTTTTAGTCAGTTGACAACTTCTAAAAAATTGGTCAAAATTAAAACATTTTTTTAATTGGAATGGAACTAAAATAAATGGAATTAAAATAAATACGTCACAACATCTTCCATGAAATAATTTGACCACTAAATGTCACCACAATTTTTGGATAAATATTAAGTTGGTTTAACCTAATAAAGCTTTTCAAGGTCGAAGCAAATCATGTTGGTTGTACTAAACTAATTGAGTTTGTCAGATTATTAAAGACTCGTAGGACTGACTCATTAATGCCAAAGTTGAGACAGTGATTTTTTTTTTTTTTTTTTTTTGAGTGCACTCTAAAAAATAATTTATGGGCGTCAATAAGTTTTTCAGAATTAAAAAAAATAATCTGTGTGTTATGTTAAAGTATTTAAGTCAGTTGGCATCTTATTTTATAAAGTTGGTCAAAATCAAAACAATTTTTGAGTAGGATGGAATTTAAATGCTGACCACTAAATATCACCAAAACTTTTGCATTAAAAATTAAGTTGGTTCAACTTATTTAAGCTTTTCAAGGTCAAAGCAAATCATGTCAGTTGTACTTAAGTAATTGAGTTTGTCAGATTATAAAAGACTCAAAGGATTAAGTCAATAATGCCAGAATTAGAACCACTGAAAAAGATGCATGCAACTTACCTTAAAAGTTGAGACAGTGAATGATTTTTTAGAGCACTCTAAAAATGGAGTGAGTCTATAACACATACAATAAAGAAGCTTTTTCAGCATAAAAAAAATTAAGTTTGCTACATTACGCTGTTTTAGTCAGTTGACAACTTATTTTAAAAAGCTGTTCAAAATCAAAATATTTTTTAATTGGATGGAATTGAAATAAATAAGTTAGAATATCTAACATAAAATAGTTTGACTACTAAATATCACCACAACTTTATGATAAATATTAAGTTGTTTTTCAAGGTCAAATCATGTTGGTTGTACTAAACTAATTGAGTTTGTCAGATTATAATAAAAGACTCAAATGACCGACTCATTGATGCCAAAGTTGAGACAGTGAATGATTTTTTAGAGTGAAAAAAAAAAGCATGCATCTTTTTAAGTAGTTCCAACTTTGGCGTTACTGAGTCAGTCACAAGTCTTTTATTATAATCTGATAAACTCAATTAGTTTAGTACAACCAACATTATTTGCTTCGACCTTGAAAAGCTTAATTAAGTTAAACCAACTTAATATTTATCCAAAAGTTGTGGTGATATTTAGTGGTCAAATAATTTTAAATAAGATATTTTAACTTATCTATTTTAATTCCATCCAACTCAAAAAAAAAAAAAAGTTTGGAATTATGACCAGCTTTTTGAAATAAGTGTCAACTGACTAAAACACTTTGATGTAACACACTTATTTTTCAATGCTGAAAAGCTTCTTCATTTTATGAATTATCCACCAACCCCAGACTGCCTCAGCCTCTGACAGATCTGATCTGAAAACAGTTTAAAGGTTAATTTAAAAAAAGCAGGAGGAAGAAAATCAGAAGAAAAAACACACTTATGATATTTGATTTCTAGGAACTGCTTCATGATCAATTGCATCACATATTCAGCAACTTAAGTTCAAAGGTTGAATACCTGAAGGAGAACTGCAGCCCCACCTGGTGGCTGATTGTTCCCATTGTGTTTTCAGTATCACAGCAGTGTCACAGTACATGTTCTCATTAGAGCTGAGTGAAGTGCTTTTAAAGTTAACTAGGATTTTACATTGCATGTTGTGTTAAGATTTTCTTTCACGCCTCATCTTTAGCTCTCATTTACAGTTTCTCTCTCATTGAACCAGCCCTTATAAACAGAGGCTGAATAAATACTGTAATACTTCTACAGCGGGCTTGAGGCGCGCCCTCGTTGAGGACTTGGCTCAGATTCCGGAGTTACTCTCTCATCCTGAAGCCTCCTTAAGGAATCTGATCCTGTTTGATTCAGCGGTAGGAACCTCTTGCGACCACATGCCTTTGTTGACGACGACCCCAGCAGGATTCGAACCCCTGACCTTCCGCATGACCTTCTCTAACCACTACGCTAGGTCCTCTTTGATCTGAGGACCCTTACAGACTAAAGGAATATGAATAATTTACAGGGTAATCCAGGAATGGACACATAATTTGAGGTAACCAACAACCTGGATTTGCACATCTGACGAACGTTGATAAAAAACAAACTGCTTAGCAACCAGACCAGGCCTCAAATTGAGACAGGAGTTATTTGTCACACTGGGCTAGTAAAAGAGACTGGGCTTTTCATGGAAGTTTTAGTTTGGTTTGTGACACATTATAATTTCTGTAAGTTGTTCTTTATTCAATTGTCTGCAGCTATGAGCTGTGAGCTATGTGCTGCTGCCTGTCTCGGCCAGGACACTCTTGTAAATGAGATTTTAATCTCAATGAGTCTTTTACTCCTGGTTAAATAAAATAAAATAGACCTGCAGTTGAACCCATGAAATTCTGCACTGATCTCTACTTTGACATTGATGCTGGTGGGATTTAATAAGTTTATACTTCCTCTCACTCTGTTTCGAATGTGTAAATCAAAGTAACTACACACTGACAACTGCTCTTCATTATACTTTTCATTATTTGTAAATACTACTTTATTTATACTCATACTATACTTTGACCCCTTCAGACGCTGGAAGGCGACATTGTGCTGCAAATCTTGACTCTTATTTCAAAGTAACAGCAAGTATGTTGAGATTTGTGTGGAGCTGCTGTATCTTTATCAACTTTTACACGTCTTAATAAATATAATGGACTGTTCTTTATTTATCAGAGGAGGGGGTGGCTGGGGTGTGACTGTTTTTTTTTTTTTTTTTTTTTACCCTCCCCAAAGTTATAAATATTTTTTCTTGAGCCTCTCTGAGTGACTTATGGAAAATACACGACCCTCCCTCCACCATAAATAGTTATTAGATTTTTAAAAGTTACCCTTTTATGTTTTATTTTGAAAGTTAAAGACAGTATCCTGGAGTTGAAATAGCCTCAGTTTTCGCTCTTGTCGTGCAAACAATTTATTTATGTATTCTTTTTTTGTTGTTGAAATATCACTATCGTTTTTTTTTTTTTTTTGGCAATCGCTTTTGTCCAACCTGGTCCCACTCCCAAGTCGTCGAAGTCTGGCACGTGGGCAGTGACTTGTGATGTCAGACACTGACAAAATCAGCCATCCTTTAATGTCAGCATGATACGTGGCCAGTTGCTGTTATTGTTGAACGATGCTCGGCGGTGTCAGGGGGAAACATGGTGGAACAAGAACGAAAGTTAAGTCAGCGAAAGTCCAAATAGGGCGGGCGGGAGTGGAGGATGAGTCCAACAAACACCGACTTTCACCTGAGAGAGCGACGTTAGCGTGTTGTAAGATTAGAAAGCCAAACCCTGTTCTTTTTGTCTAAACCCAACCACGAGTTGTTGAAGGAGAAAAAAAAAGCAAATTTGCTTTATTGTACTGACATAGTGCTTTTATTTTGAAAGAGACTATATGTAAATGGTAAATTTCCTGTGAAAACAGAAGTGTATTTTGAAAGAAGACAATGCATGTAACAGGCGGAACTTGACACGGCGTCAACAACCAACACACCCAGGGTACCTTGCACGTCGTATCTGGACGTGGAAAGTCCATGAGCAAATGTCTATGTGACGAGGTCGCAGTGAGAATGTTGAGAAAATCCAGCAATACCTTCTGTTTTTACAATTTCTATGACAAATAGTGCAACTTTGGCAATTATTACAGAAAACATGCCTTCAAGAGGATGTTTTCTTTAAAAATCAGTGGTAAAATAAAAACAAATTACAGCCATTTAAATTTGAATTCCCCTCCCTTAAGCCATAACAAACGTTTCTCCCCAAAAGCCTCCCTCTTTTTGGACCACCCTCTTCCTCTCATAAATAACGAACAGTCCCTAAGTTAAGATAAACGATAACAGGCTGGTATAAAGTCAAGTATCAGAGATGAGACTGACTGAGCTGGATGAAACCTTTTATTCTCAGAACCTGTAGGCACTGTGGGTTTGTCTTTAGTCTCTCATCTCTCCACCTCCATCAGTTCTTCCAGAAGTTCGGGTTCTGGCTCAACCTCCTCTGGAAGTTTTCATACCACTTGAGGACGCAGCTGGATGGGATGAAGGTCTCCGAGGGGTTCGGCGTCATCTGCGCCTGCGACACGGCGAAGGACGAGGCGAAGTTGTAAAGACTGTCCAGCATCTTCTGGGTGAACTGCAGGAAGGAGTCCACGGTGGACACGGCGGCGCTGGACACCGGGATCTGCTGGGCCAGCTGATCCAGAGCCTCCACCGACACACCGACCTGGGCCACGGAGGGCGACGACGACGAGGAGGCCATCATGCCGAAGGGGTGCGCCCCGCCCTCCCCGGCCTTCAGCCCGGAGATCTTGAAGATGGCACTGGGCTTGTCGTTGGTGATGAAGCCGAGCAGCTGCCACACCGGGCTGCCGCCGCTCGCCGGGTCCGGGAAGGAGAAGTAGACTGCGCCCCCCATGCCGGCGGGGAACGGCACCGTGCCTAGCATGAACACCACCACATGGTTCACGTTCTCGTAGTCCGGCAGGTTGAACACGAACTTGTCCGAGGCGACCTGCACCGCGTCTGTCTGCACCAACCTGCCCGCGACCAGACAGCCGAACATCCCCGCTGACAGCTAGCCGTTAGCTTCGATGTTAGCCAGTTGCTAAACTGTAAACAGTTGTTAGCTTTAGCTTTGCCTGCTAGCTAGCTTCAGTTTAGCAGCCTCCGAGTGATGGACCCCGATTAACGGAACTTGTTTAACCAGTAAAAGGCGGAGGAATGAACCCCCGCTGCCCCTCTGTCTCTGAAGGCAGCGATAAGGGATCACTAGAAACTTCCAGTACAGTCTGTTAAGGTGCGGACTGTGGATCTACCGCTCGACCATCGACTCTTCGTCCTGGATGGGAGTCAGTTAACTGCGTGGGTAGTTTATCCCTTCAATTAGACTGACAGGCACAAACATCTCTCAGCTGTGGACGTTTTCGTTTTTTGTCGCCAATAATTTCAGAGTCGAACCCTAACATCACCTGCTAACCCTGTTTAGACCTGGTTTTAAGTCTGATCTGAACACAAGTGGACAGCGGAGACACATCGCTGATCACACCTGTAATGTTACCCATGATGCGTCTCCAGCTGATCACTTGTCCTCAAATGTCGTGACTGCCGACGTCACTTAAACTAGAAGGTAAAAGGGCTCATGTTCAACTTACAGTTCTCTATTGGTTTAACGGTGGCAGTGCATGGTTAAGGAGTTCTACCTGGGAGACTGAGTACAGGGCAAAATGTCCCTCATAGAGTGGACGTTCGATGATTCGTTAATCGACTTGGTGGCACCAGCGGAGCAGATAAGTTAGCGGCAGTAAGCACGACCGGAAATGAAAATCCTTAACAATTAATGCTAAATAAAACAAAATAAAATAAAATAACACAACAGTAGATAAATGAATAAAATAAAATAAAAGAACACAACAGTAAGTAAATTAATTAATTAATTAATTAATTAATTAATAGAATAGAATAAAATAAAATAACACAACAGTAAATACATAAATGAATGGACNAATAAAATAAAATAAAATAAAATAAAAGAACACAACCATAAATAAATAATGAATAGAATAGAATAAAATAAAATAATAAAAAATTAAATAAAAATAAGAATTAATTAGTTTAATTTAAAAAATGTTGTAAAACATCTTAAAAGTCACACAAAAAATTCACCTTAAACAGAAAAACAAAATTGAAACTACCTCTGTATGAAATATTTATCCACAGTCAGTGGACTACAGTGGACATCAGTCGGCACGCCCCCAGTTTGGAGAAGCAGGCTGGAGTCCAACACAGAAGCTAAGCAATGTACTGCTGTGGACAGGGCAGCAATACAACATATTTCATTCACCAAGTCCCACCTAAAAAAAAAAAATCACTATCAGTTTAAGTGTTTGCTATATTGAGAATATTTTCACTGCTTTACCTTTCTGTCAGACAGCCCATTAACAGCTTCAGTTGCCCACCATTGCTCTCGTCAAAGCCACCAGACTCCACTGACAAAAACAGGAGCTGCTGGTCTACCACTGCTTCAGTTATTGAGTTAGTTAGTGTTATTGTGTGACTTTGGTGAGGCCAAACTAAAGTCTCACAATAACAGACAGAATAACTGACAGATGCAGCAGCAGACCAGCAGCTCCTGTGTTCAGTGATGTTAAATGGCTGTTTTTCTCAGTGGAGTCTGGCTTTGAAGAGAGAGATGTAACAGCTTCAATTCCCTGTTGGAAATCGCTGTCTGATGAAAAGGTAAGTCAGTGAAAATACTCCCAATAAAGTGTACACTTAAACTGATACTGACTGTTTTAGGTGGCTGAAATACGTTGTATTGCTGACTTCGTCACAGTAGTACATTGCTTAGCTATGGACTTGAGTCTGCTTCTCCAAACTGGGGACGTGCTGACTGACATCTACTGTACGTAACACACTGACTATAGATAAGAACCTCATATAACCCCACTTCAGAAAATCCAAACTGTCCCTTTAAGATAAGATAAACTTTACTGCTGTGCAGCAGCTGCAGGAAAAGTGACAAAGGGCGCAAATAAACAAGAGACGGACGAAGGTGTAAAAACCAACAATGCCAGAAATATAAACATGTTAACAGAAGGTTTCAGATTTAAAATATACACATGATTATTTACTTTAAACCCTTCAATTAAGTGTTGAACAGATTTACAGGAGTTTATTTCCAATAAACTGGGCACTGGAAGTTAAGACATTGAATGATGTGACTATAACAATAAAATAACTCTGTGCTTTATTGTGACAAAAGTGTAATCTTCATTTAGCCTAACAGAAAACAATAATAAATAATATCTGAATCATGAGGAGTTGTTTGGTGATTTGTTTTCATATTGGTGTTCAGCTTTTAACGTCATTATCAAATGTTGGTTTCATGTAATTTGAAATTTGTACACACAATAATGTACATTTATTGAGCTGCTTAATTCTATGTTTGTTGGTACATGTCAGTAAAATAAAAATAAAACTGTAGTTGCAGGTTAATAACTACAAAGAGCTGATATTTAAATATAACTGTCTGAAGGAATGATGATGAGTGGATGAAAAATTAAGGTGTGAAGTAAATTAAGTCCCTCAAATATGTATCTTAACTACATTCCTGTTTACATTTCAGTTTTTACAATTAATGTGCACTTGACTCCCACAAATATATATCATTTTATAATTTGTCAGCCTATATTTGAACCTCTGCACTATTTAAGGTCTTAGATTTTCTCTTTTGACTTTGTACACAAGCTATTTCATGAGAATTGTTGGAGGAGCCTGAGAGCTTAGATTTTGACCGCCAGTTTTTCTGTTATTGTTGTAAATATATAACAATAAATAACTTTAAACTTGAAACACTTTTACTGCAAATATGCAAAATGTTTGTTCGACAAACATTGTATCTGCCACCCAGCCTGAGTTTTGTCTGTGTTCTCCACATTGTCTCATTTTATCACTCAGATGTCAATAGTTTGTCTTCCAAATTTTGCATACATACATGATTTAGTTGTTAAAATTTAAGCATTTAATTTTGTTTTTTTTAGTGCATATGTTTTCTTACAGAATATAAATATAAAAGAACACACGCATATGTAGAATTAATGGGATTCATTCACAGTAGTAGTTGTAGTAGTAGTGATAATAATACTAATCAGTTATTTCTAGATATTTACTTAAACTGCAAAAATGTTTACAATACAGAAATAAACCATTCAGTTGCAGACAATTTACTAAATTTGTAATTTTTACATGGATTTGTAACTAATTAAAATAATGTTAAAATATTGCCACAGCTGTTAACTTAAAAAAATAAATAAATTTCAGTCTAGACTTTACAAACAGGCTGCTTTATTTTGAAAACCAGTAACCGGATGTAGTCTGTTCTGATATCCGCTGACTTAACGGAGGTGCTCCATCAGCGGGTCGGTTCAGCTGTCTGTACGGTGACATTTAAAGCATCAAAATAAAAGGAAATAAACTTTCTTCTCACCTGCGTGTTACCGGACACTGTTCTCTCGGGATCAAGGACTTTACCGGACACCAACAGGTAAACGGTCCCGTTTATATCTCGGTGTGTCTCCAAACATTTGCCCGTTAGCTAACCCGGTTAGCCACCCGATGCTAGCCGCGGAGCCTGTTAGCCTGCAGTCCGGTTTTTAAACACTAATGAAGAAGCTGTTTTACACTTTGTTGTGTGTTTGTGTGACGACAGAGACAGTTTGTGTTTTAAGTTCAGCCGCGGACACACTTCAGTACATGTTGTACCGGTGACTGGTGCGTTTATAGCTCTCTTTCTGTGTCAGTTAAACAGGAGACTGTTGACATGTTAGAAGTGAACATGATGTGTTGAGTGTGTGAAGCTTCACAGTCAGGCTCATAAACCAGCTCTGGATTTATAATTACAACCCTGATGTTGTGTAACATGTAAATAAAAACAGGATGCAACGATTTGTAAATTATTTTTAATCTATATTTAATTGAATACAGCACAGAGACAAGATATGAAATGTTCTAACTGATGGACATCATTGTTTTCTGTAAAATATACACTCATTTTGAATTTCATGTCTGCAACATGTCCCAAAAAAGTTGAGACAGGGGCAACTAAAGACTGGGAGAGTTGTGGAAATCTGAAGAAACACCTGTTTGGATCGTTCCACAGGTGAACAGGTTATAACTGATAACGGATGTTTCATTAATAGGTTTAAAGAAGCATCTTTGAAAGGCTCAGTCGTTCACAAGCAAACTGTGAAAAACTGTGTCAGCAAATAGAAACAGTGAAAAAATGTTTATCAATGTATGACTGCAAATAATTTGGAGATTTCACCATCTGCAGTTCATGATATCATCGAAAGATTCAGTGAATCCGGAGAAGTCTCTGCACTCAGAGCGATGCTGAAACCAATATTGAGTGACCGTGACCTTTGACCCCTCAGGCTGCTCTGCATTAAAAACCAACACAACTGTATAAAGGATATTACGTCATGAGCTCAGGAACACTTTGTAAAACAATGTCAGTAAACACATCGCTGCATGTACTAAAGACAGTTCAGACTCTACCGTGCAAAGTGAAAGCCAGACATTGACAACATCCAGAAACACAGCCGACTTCTCTGAGCCCGAGCTCATCTGAGATGGTGTTACATCCCCGCCAGAGATCTAAGGGAAGGAGGGAGTAACACAGTGAAATGCAGGACACTTTAAAAAAGACAAAAAGGCAAGTTTAAAGGACGTTTATTCAAAAACAGGAAAAAGGACCATCAATGAAAAACAAGCTCCAAAAGGGAAACGAATTGCCTGTAGCAGGGACACACAAAATAAAGAAAAGATTAAACACAGCCAACAAAGATCACCGCACTTAGTCAAACTCTCACTTATTAGACACACAACTATCATAGCTCCACTCCACCGTCATCCATTTATACCCTCGCTGATGAGGAATGAAGATCAGCTGCACACTGAAAAAAACAGACAGGGGAATACACGAAATAAAGGGCGGGCCCAAAACACACAGGCACGAAACAGATGGACTGACACAAAGTGGAAAAGTGTGCTGTGGTCTGACGAGTCCATCATGGACGCCGTGTCCTCCGGGCTAAAGAAGAGAAGGACCGTCCAGACTGTTACTAGCTCAACATTTAAAGCATCTGTGATGGTATGGAGGTGTGTTAGTGCCCATGGCATCATGGGTAATTCACATCTGTGAAGGCACCGTTAATGCTGAAAGGTACATACAGGTTTTGGAGCAACATATGCTGCCATCAAGACGCCGTCTTGTTCAGGGACGTCCCTGCTTATTCCAGCGAGACAATGAGACACATTTTGCACGTGTTCC